TACTTCATTTCAATAGTTTTTAGTTACATTGCAATGTATGAAACTTAAAGACACTAAAGTTATTTATGTATGGTAATGTGGGTAATATCCTACTGTTTAGTTATTTTGTTTTTATTTAGTTTTTAGTATAGAAATATATTTGAATTAACTAATTCCCATTTTTTTCTAATAGAAAATTATAGTGATTTTTTTTCTTTTTGTTTGGGGAAGGGAGACTCTGGGTGGAAAATTGCTCATTCCTAGAGAAGAAAAATTAAGATATTTCCCCCTTGATAATTCACACAATGTGTTTTTACTTCAATGAAATAAAAATAGCATTAATTATAAATACATTTACAGATTCTATTACTCTATACAATTTTTTAAAATCCTGATTAAATTGTATAATAACCCTAAAATATACAATTGGCTCTTTATTGTTTAATCCTGAGGTTGGCAGCACCAACCACAAAGCAGAGTCACAGGCCAGGCACCATAACTTCACGCTCACTGTGAGAAGCATATGTGGAAAGCAGATCTGGTAACGAAAACCAGGCTTGGAATGCATGTGGTTCCTGATGGTGCTTTTCCAGAAAGAGTTGTATCATAATAGCAGCATTTCTAAGGAGAGAAAATGGAGGAGAAAAGGAATGAAGAAACACCTTTGTTGTTGAGCAACAATGCAAAGAAAAGCTGGGTGCGGTGGCTAATGCCTGTAATCCCAGCACTTTGGGAGGCTGAGGAGGGTGGATCACCTGAGGTCAGGAGTTCAAGACCAGCCTGGCCAACATGGCCCATCTCTACTAAAAATACAAAAATTAGCCAGGCATGGAGGCACATGCCTATAATGCCAGCTACTCAGGAGGCTGAGGCAGGAGAACACTTGAATCCAGGAGGCAGAGGCTCAGCAAGCCGAGATCGCGTCTCTGCACTCCAGCCTGGATGACAGAGCAAGATTGCATCTCAAAAAAAAAAAAAAGAAGAAGAAGAACGCTATGCTATGTAGAGGTATGGGCATGGGGAACCAAGACTGTATAATAGATGGCATAGATGTGCAGCTTTCCTCCTGGAAACTTCACAGACCTCTGCCTCTCTCCAGTGACTATATGGGTATTACACACTTATGCCTGGGTACAAACTCCTGTTCCACACCTACATGCTTTGTGACCTTGCTAAGCTGTTACTCCTCTCTACCTCAGAGTTCTCATGTGTACAGTGGGGTTATTGTGACTTACCTCCTAGTATTAATGTGATGATTAAATAAAATCATATATGTAAAACATTTATAGAGTACTACCCAACATCTTAATAAGGACTTTATGTTTTAGCCATGTGTATTATTACTAACATTTCTACTTAAAAACTAAACCAAGTCCAATGAGAGTGTCTTTATAGATGAAGAGAAACTAGTTGTTGGCATGCCAAATATAATTATTCATATCATTTCTAGGCATATATGGCATTTATCCTTCTCACCATTTCCACCACATTCTCAACTCTTAGGGGATCGCTTAGAGAACACAAAGATGTCAGACACAGACACAGACATAAATAAAACACAAGACATTTGTGACCAGTACATGACTGAGAGTCACACAGAATGCTGGGGATGCAGAAAAGAGACAGCAATTCTGTCTAATGGGGAGGAGTCAAGGAACACTTTACAGAGGAAGTGACATTTCAGCTAAATCTTAAAGCCACACAGTGTTTGAAGGAAAGAAAAGTTGCAAGGCAAGAGTCTACTGCAGGACATGGGAACCAATAGCCTGCTGTGAAAGGAGCAAGAGAGGAGGGAAGGGAAATGAGAAGAAATGAGCTTAGAAAGCTAGCCCATATTATTATTATTATTATTTTTATTTTTTATTTTTTATTTTTTTGAGACGGAATCTCGCTCTGTCGCCCAGCCTGGAGTGCAGTGGCCGGATTTCAGCTCACTGCAAGCTCTGCCTCCCGGGTTTACGCCATTCTCCTGCCTCAGCCTCCCGAGTAGCTGGGACTACAGGCGCCCGAGCTGGCCCATATTATAAAGAACTGTGCAAGAGAGGCAAATGTGATGAGGGATGATGGTTAATTTTATGTGTTAATTTGACTGGTCCACAGGGTGCCCAGACATTTGATCAAACTGATTCTAGGTATATGTCTGTGAGGGTACTTCTGGATGAGATTAACATTTGTTTGTTTGTTTGTTGTTTGTTTTTGTGAGACGGAGTCTCACTCTGTCACCCAGGCTGGAGTCGGTGGCACGATCTCGGCTCACTGCAACCTTCGCCACCCGGGTTCAAGCAATTCTCCTGCCTCAGCCTCCCAAGTAGCTGGGATTACAGGCACCCGCCAGGCCAGCTAATTTTTTTTTATTTTTAGTAGAGACAGAGTTTCACCACATTGGCCAGGCGGGTTTTGAACTCCTGACCTCAAGTGATACACCCACCTCGGCCTCCCAAAGTGCTGGATTACAGGTGTGAGCCACCGCACCCAGCCCTAGATTAACATTTGAATCAGTAAACTGAGTAAAGCAGACCGGCCTTCCCAACAGGAATGGGTCTCATCTAACCCATTGAAGGCCTGAATAGAAAAAAAAGGCTGACCCTGAAGTGAGTAAGAGGGAATTCCTCCTCCCTAACTGCCTGTAAGCTGGGACATCATTTTATTCCTGCCCTCAGACTCAAATTGAAACATAGACTCTCGGATCTTGCAGATGCGGTATTTGCACCAGAGCTACAAAATCAGCTCTCCTGGGCCTCCAGTGGTGATGACCACAGATCTCAGGTATCTTAGCCTTCATAATCACTTGAGCCATTCTCATACTCAATCTCTTTATCTGAACTCTTTATGCTGAATATATACCTAATATATGTGAATATATATATACTCACCATCATATTATAATATTTATATATTATATTATATCCATCATATATTTATTATTAATATAAATATATATTATAAAATTGTTATATTATATATTGATAATTATATATTTTAATAATATGTTATATTAATAAATATATCAATAGTTTATATTCAACATACAATCATAATTAGATAACGTATAATTATATATTTATATTAATCAAATATATTATAATTAATGTATAATTTATTAATTATATTATATTAATTATATTCGATAAAATTAGTGATATACAATTATAAATATTACTATGCTATTACTATATTTAATCATATTTGTGTATTATAATTATTAATATATTCACTTCATGATTCATATATGTTATAAAATCTATAATGTAATAATATATAATATTCCCATATAATCTCATAATATATTAGTTATGTAATATATTAATATATTATATATTAAATGAATTTAAAATATTAAACATATTCTACACCTCATATGTTCGTATATGTATTATATCATAATTTATTCACATAGGAGACTACCTGACTATATATTTGGCTAGCCTTAGTTTATCTTGTCTTCCATGGCACCTCTATACTATCCTATATTGCATCTCCTATTCGGTCTACTTCTCTAGAGAACCCCAATACACGGGGGGAAATATTCAAGTGTCCCTATCCATGGCTGTCTCCCTCGGTTGCCTTTTGAGGATAATTCTGTGCCTGCACACAGATGATTTTATGTGTTGCCAGGGCTAATAGGTAAAGCTCCAAAATTAAGGAAGAGAAAAGGGGACAGAATGATTTACCAAAGTGGCAGCATAAGCTTTTGAAGAAAAGACTCAACTAAAAGCAGAAAGAGGATGAAAGAGAGGTGGGCAGAGTTTTAAGGAGCAGTTAAGTAAAAGAGATGAGAGGGAAAATGTAGCTTAGTGTGTGACTTAGGAGAGAAAACTGTGCAGAAGGATTTCGGGGATGTTTTGCTGGGAGCTGTGGGGGAATAATTTGCCAAGGAATTCACTCTGTGCCCAGAAGGCTCCAATGGCCCCAATACTGCTGTTTGAAGTTAGATTTATGTTTTTTGAGGTGAATTACCACGCTGAGGGAGGCCTTAAGTGAGGAGCTGAAAGACACAGTTTTATAAGAGTTGTTCAAATAACACCTTTGAATTATTCAAAATAAGCCCTTCAGAAAAGGTAAAAATATTATATTTAGAAAAGCCTAGTGTTCACCAAAGAAATGACTAGAACTGATAAACAAATTCAATAAAGCTACAGGATATGAAATCAACGTACGAAAATTAGTAGCATTTCTATATGCCAACAGTGAACATAACCTGAGGAAGAAACCAAGAAAGTAATCCCATTTACAATAGCTACAAATAAAATGAAATACCTAGGAATAAACTTAGCCAAAGAAGTGAAAGATGTCTACAATAAAAACCATAAAACATTGATGAAAGAAGTTGAAGAGGACACAAATAATGGAAAGATATTCCCTATTCAAGGATTTGAAGAATCAATATTGTTAAAATGTCCATACTACCCAAAGCAATCTACAGGTTCAATGCAATCCCTAGCAAAATACCAATGACATCCTTCACAGAAACAGAAGAAATAATCCTAAAAGTTATATGGAGCCACAAAGTATGGCTCCAGATCTGGAGTCAGAATAGCCAAAGCAATCCTGAGCAAAAAGAACAAAGCTGGAGGCATCATATTGCCTGATTTCAAATTATACTACAAACCTATAGTAAGCAAAACAGTCTGGTACTGGCATAAAAACAGGTACATAGACCAATGGAACAGAATAGAGAACCCAGAAATAAATCCATGCGTTTACTATTGCAATGAATTTGTATTTATTTGCACTAATTTATCTAATCCTTAGTGAAAATCAAAAGGCATATTGATGACTACCAGCTATATTCTGTGAATGGTATTGTGCTATTTGAATTACAACCTCTTTTATTTGCCTAGCAATACTCTTCCTTGCTGGTCACGTAGGCGATGCTCCATCAACACTTACCCCAAAACAAATTTTCCTGTATTTGTGTTCTACTGCTATGTGATAAATCACCACAAGTTTAGTGGCTTAAAAAACCACACACATTCACTAGTCCTATAAGACAGTAAAAATGAACAAAAAACTCCACTTACTATCTTGTAGTTTCCGTGGGTCAGGAGTTAAGGCACAGCTTGTGTGGATCCTCTGCTCAGAGTCTCACAAGGCTACATTCTCATCTGGAGGCTTGACTCGGGGAAGAATCCATTTCCAAGCTCTTCCAGTTGTTGGTAGATTTCATTTCCTTGTGACTGTATGATTGAGGGCCCTGACTTTTGCTGGCAATTGACTGGGGGTCCCTTTCAGGTCCTAGAGGCTACCTAAAGGTCTTCGATACGTGAGCTTTCTCAATATGGCTGTTTATTCATCCAGCAAGGAGAATCTCTAGCTCCAGTCTACTAAGATGGAGTCTGATATAATGTAAGATAATTACAGGATGATGTCCCATCATCTTTACAATATAACATAACCTAATCACTGGAGTAACATTTCATCATCTTTTTACATTTTGTTGGAAGCAAGCCATAAGTCTTGCCTACCCTGAAGAGGAGGGGATTACACAAGAGTGTGAACACTAAGAGATGGGAATCATTGGGGATCACCTTGGCATTTATCTGACACAATCCATATTATGCCATACAAATTGTCAACTAAATGAAAACTTTTCTATAGCAAGGGTTCATATAAAAGGCCTTAAACATTTCTCATTCATATAGATACATATCTAGATAGACAGATAGATACCAAAATACATAAGCACACACACACATACCATACACATACTATCACAGAACTTGAGAGAACAGTGTATGAAGTTAGACACCTGGTGTCTCAAATATCTATGATAACTACTTCAAGACTTAGTGGCTTAAAACAATCACAATCTTATCTTGCTCCTGAGTCTGTGGATCAGTATCTGGACAGGGCACAGCAAAGTAGGCTAGCTCATCTCTTCTCAACCAGATGTCTGTGGGGCCAGGATGTCCAAGAGGTATCTTCACTCGCATGTCTGCAGTCTCAGGTAGGATAGCTCAAATGGCTGGGGACTTGCTGGAACAGCCAACTGGGGTTATACTTGTGGGGCCTTGGTTCTCATTGGCCGAAGTTCTCAGTTCCTACAATTTCAGTGCATCTCCCTGTCCATGTGGTCTCTCCCCATAATCTCACTATGGGGTCTCTCCAGCAAGGGAGCTAGATATTTTACATGGCGGCTAGACTCCTAGAGGCAGAAAATAGAAGTAGACAATTTTCTTAAGGCCTGGGCTTGGAAGTCCCAGAAAGTCAGTTCTACCACATTCTATTGGTCAAAGACAATCTTTATGCTTCCATTGTCTCTTTCACATCTTCTTATACTGTCTTGGTAAGAAGACAATGCAATGTAGAATACAAGTGGTAATGATGTGCATACTTGTCTCATTTCTGATTTTAAAGGAACTACAAATGTTTCCCCATTTAATATGACGTTTGCACTAGGTATTTAATAAATATTTTTATCGAGATAAAGAAGTTCTCTTCCATTTCTATTTTCTAAGTGTTTATTTTTAATGATGAAGGCTTTTTCTTCAAGCTTTGATATGATCAAATGGATTTTTCTCTTTTAATGTATAAATGTGGATTTTGTTTATGGATTTTCTAATATTAAACCATTCTTGCATATCTAAGATAAATCTGACTTGATTACTATGTACTATTTTTGATACAATGTTTGATTCAATTGGCTAATATTTATTTAAGATTATTGTGTTCATATTCACGAGCAAAATAAGCCTATAATTTTTCTTTCTCATAATGTGTTCCTGGTTTTATTTTGAAAGTTATGCTAGCTTTATAGAACAAATTACACAGTATCCTTTCTTCTTCTATTCTATAAAATAATGAATATTTTGTCTGTCCTTTAAAAAACTCATGTAAATTTTCTGCAAAACTATCAATGTTTTTCTCTGTGGAAAGATGTTTTTAACTGACAAAAATTACATATATTTAGAGTGTAAAACATGATATTTTGATTATGTATACATTGTGGAATGGCTAAATCAAGCTAATTAACATATCCATTACATTCCTCACATACTGCTATGATTTGAATGTATGTGTCCCTCCAAAAGTATGTATGTGGAAACTTAAACCTTAAGGTGATGGTATTAAGAGATGGGGCCTCTGAAAAAGTGATTAAGTCTTAAGCATTTCACCCTCATAAATGGATAATAAAAGAGGTTTCAGAGAGCTGCCTGGCCTTTCCATTTCTTCTGATATGTGAGAACACAGCACTCATTCCTGGTGATTAGTGATGTTGAACATTTTTTTTTTCTTGAGATGGAGTCTAGCTCTGTTGCCCAGTCTGGAGTGCAGTGGTGTGATCTCACTCACTGCAACCTCTGCCTCCTGGGTTCAAGCAATTACCCTGCCTCAGCCTCCCAAGTAGCTAGGATTGCACGTGCACGCCACTATGCCCGGTTAATTTTTGTATTTTTAGTAGAGACGGGGTTTTACCATGTTGACCAAGCTGGTCTTGAACTCCTGACCTCAGGTGATCCTCCCACCTCAGCCTCCCAAAGTGCTGGGATTACAGGCGCATTTTTTTTTTTCATATACCTGCTCACCATTTCTATGTCTTCTTTGGAGAAATGTCTGTGCAGCTCCTTTGCCCATATTTTTAGTTGGGTTATTCATTTCTGTGGGAAGATTTTAACCACTGTTTCAATTACTTCAATTACTGCAATAGTTTAAGACTATTCGAGTCTTTCATTTCTTCTAGTAAATTATATTTTTTCTAGGGTTTTATCCTTTTAATCTGCATTTGCAAAACCATTAGCATAGAGTTATTGATAGTATTCTGTTATGTTTAAATTTCTACTTTCTTATTTATGTTCCTCTTTTTATTCATAAAATTGGTTATATCTTCTTCCTTCTCTTGATAAATCTTGTCAGCAATTTATATTGTTAGTTATTTTGAAAAATTAACTTTTGTCTTTGTTGGCCTCTATTTAATCTTTGCTTTATATTTCACTTTTATTGTATTTTCCTTCTATTTTCTGTAGGTGTATTGTCTTTTTCATTCACCAGTATCTTAAAATGGGCATTTAATCTCATTAATTTCAAGTCTTTATAAATTTCCTAGAAGCACAATTTTTCTTGCATCCCACAGGCTTCTAGAGAGTAACTATTATTCACTTTTTGGGTTTTTAAATTTATGCTTTTTAAGAAAACTATGAGTTACTCAGCAAATTGTGTTTTACAGATTTTGAAATAGACAGTATTAAATTTTTTACATTTTTGTAACTAATTTCTAACCTAGTTACATTGTACTCAGAGATTATCGGTGTATATAATAGCTAACCTTTGAAATTTACTGAGGCTTCCTTAATGGTCTAGTACATTGAATAATTTTTGAAGATATTTCAAAAGTGCTTGATAATTGTTGGATACAGAACTCTATATTCATGCATTAGATTAAGCTTATTAATAATTGTGCTGTCCAGTTTTTCTTTTCTTTTTCTTTTTTTTTTTTTTTTTTTTTTTTTTGAGACCGAGTCTTGCTCCGTCACCCAGGCTGGAGTGCAGTGGTGCAATCTCTCAGGCAGAGCACAGTGGTGCAATCTTGGCTCACTGCAACCTCCACCTCCCACGTTTAAGCAATTCCCATGTCTCAGCCTCCCAAGCAACTGGGACTACAGGTGCACACCACCACACCTGGCTAATTTTTTGTATTTTTAGTAGACATGGGATTTCACCATGTTGGCAAGGCTGGTCTCGAGCTCCTAGCCTCAAGTGATCTGCCCACCTCGGCCTCCCAATGTGCTGGGATTACAGGCATGAGCCATCGCACCTGGCCCAGTTTTTCTATATCTTTGCTGCTCTTTGTCTGCTTGGTCTAACAACAATTAAGAGCAATTACTTGAAATCTCCCATAATAACACAGTAATCATGGATTTATATATCCATTTCTTTCTATAGAATTGCTTAATATATTTTGAGGCTGTTTTACTCAGTGCATACATGCATTAAGTCATTATATATTCACTATATGATGACCCTCTGCAACCCTAATATTTTTTATCTTCAAGTACATTTTATTTTTTAGTAATATAGGCCAATAGTTTTCTTTTTGCTTTGCCCAATTTGTCTTTATTCATCTTTTTGCTTTCAAATTTTGTGTCATTAAGATGTGTCCCTTATATGTCTGAATTTGTTGAAATACAACCTGTCTTTCTCTTTTAACTATAACTTAGTCCATTTTTAGTTATTGTTATTATTATTGATATATTTTGACCTGTTTTTACCACTTGAATTCATTACTTTAGATTGTTCCTTTCTTTTTTATTTTTTCTTTAAAAAAAAAAAAAAAAACTGGCCAGGTGCAGTGGCTCACTCCTGTAATCTCAACACTTTGGGAGGCCGAAATGGGCAGATCACTTGAGTTCAGGAGTTCAAGACCAGCCTGGCCAACATGGTGAAACCCCATCTCTATTTAAAAAAAAAAAAAAAATTCCAAAAATTAGCCAGGCATGGTGGTGAGTGTCTGTAGTCCCAGCTACTTGGGAGGATGAGGCATGAGAATTGCTTGAACCCAGGAGAAGGAGGAGGTTGCAGTGAGCCAAGATTGCGCCACTGTACTCCAGCCTGAGTAACAGAGCAAGACTTCATCTCAAACAAAAAAAAAAGAAAAACAGAAACAAAAACTAAACTAAACTACCCACCTGTCCTCCTTCATAAGAAAAGAAATTTAGGCTGGGCATGGTGGCTCATGCCTGTAATCCCAGTACTTTGGGAGGCCAGGGTGGGCCTATCACTTGAGCCTAGGAGTTCAAGACCAGCCTGGGCAACATGGTGGAACCCCATCTCTACAAAAAATACAAAACTTAGCCTGGCCCGGTGGTAGTGTGTGCCTGTAGTCCCAGCTACTCAGGAGGCTGAGGTAGGAAGATGACCTGAGCCTGCGGGGGGAGGGTCAAGAATTTGAGAATTAAGTCACCACATTCTCCATTCTCTTTCCACACTTCTCCCTGCCACCACCAAAAATAAACAAAAATGCTTTCAGGGCTTTAACTAAAATTGCTCTGAATTTTTACATTAATTTGGGGAGAATTATCAGCTTTGTATTCTGAGTCTTTCCGTTCAAGAACATGATAAGTTTCCATTTATTTAGATGCTTATTAATGCCCTTCAGTAATGCTTCATAGTCTTTTTTCTTTTTCTTTTTCCTTTTTTTTTCCTGAGATGGAGTTTTGCTCTTTTTGCCCAGGCTGCAGTGCAATGGCGTGATCTCGGCTCACTGCAACCTCCGCCTCCTGGGTTCAAGCGATTCTCCTTGAGTAGCTGGGATTACAAGTGTGTACCACCAAGCCCGACTAATTTTGTATTTTTAGTGGAGACAGGGTTTCGCCATGTTGGACAGGCTGGTCTCGAACTCCTGACCTCAAGTGATCCGCCTGCCATGACCTCCCAAAGTGCTAGGATTACAGGCGTGAGCCACCGCTCCCAGCCTGCTTAATAGTCTTTTTCATACAAGTCATATATATCTTTTGTTAGATTTATTCTTACATATCTTTTGCTTGTGTTGCTGTTGTAAGTGGCATCATTTTTTAGTTATACATTGTCTAGCCATTTGTTTAGGTTTAGAAATGCAGCTGACATTTGTACATTAATCTTAGATGTCATACCAGCAATCTTGCTGAACTATAAAATTGATTATAATGTTATGATTGTTTTTCTATAAATTTTCTTAGGCTATCTATTTAGACAATCATATTGTATGCAAATGTTGACAGTATTTCTTTCCTTTCTAGTTCTTTCTCTTATCTAACTGCATTAGCTAGAATCTCCAGTATAATGTTAAACAGATGTAATAAGAGCAAGTATACTTGTTTCATTCTTAAAGTGAATGGTACTATTAGGTTGGTGCAAAAGTAAAAGTAATGGCAAAAACAGCAATTACTTTTGCATCAACATAAATAATATTCACCATTAGGTATTATGTTTGCTGTAGGTTTTTGGTAGTTACCCTTTTTTCAGTTAAGAAAGTTTTCTTTTATTTCTAATTTATTCTAAGTTTTTATTATGAATGGGGATTGAGCATAATCGAGTATTTTTTCGATATCCATTGAAAAAATTTATTAATTTTCTCATTAAATATTTCTAAAAGGTCAATTATATTACTTACACAGATTTTCAACTATCTTTTACTTTCTGAGATTAACCCAACTTATCATATCTATGATAATCTAAATCAATTGCCTATTATTATCTTTTTTCACAGTGTTTGTCTCACAATGTTCTTCTGTGGTTAAACTCAATACTAGGTGGGGAATAGTTCTTTTTAAAATGTTGTTTGAAGAGTTTCTGTAAGTTTGGAATTATCTGTTCCTTGAATGCTTGGTAAAATACTCTGAAAAGTGACCTAGGTCTCATGTTGTTTCTGTGTGGGTACAGGAAAGACAGAAAGAATAAATTGTTAATCACCGATTCAATTTATTTAACACTATTTCTTCAGTACGCCTCCATCTTTTTATTTCTTCTTGAATTTATATTGGCAAGTGGTATGTTTCTAGGAAGTTGCCTATTTCATCTACATTTTCCAGTTTATTGGTATAAAGTCCTTGGTAATTTTCACTTATCTTTAATTTATGCTGAATGTGCACTGTATCTTTTTTTATTTCTAACACTGTTTATTTATTTATTTTTCTCTTGTTTCTTATCAGTCTGCCAGAGGTTTGTCTATTTTTTTAGTCTTTCCAAAGAACTTCATTTTATCTTTATTTTTTCTATTTCATTAGCGTCTACTTTTATCTTTATTTCTTTTCTCCTATTTTCTTTGGATTTATCCTGCTGATCATTTGCTATCTTAAGTTGGATACTTAGCTTATTAATTTTCAGCTTTCCCTTTTTTCTGATGTAAACATTCAAAAACAGAAATTTCCCTCTGCTTTTGCTATATTTCATGAATTTTGATATTTTTGTGGGTAGTTCTAAGCATTTACAAATTTCAAT